TCAACCTTGTACACACTTAGTTGTTTCTACCAAATTCTAACAAATCTCAGCAATAAAAGTTTTACTGAGATTTCAGCAAACATTTAATTTTTTGCCGAGATTCAGCTAAGCATTATCCGCGACTAAGCAATCAAATGTCACTTTTGCTGAGATCTCAGTGAAATTTACTTTTGCCGAGATTTGCACAGCCGAGTATACATTCGTTAAATATCATAAAGCATGTGCTAAGCTAATCTACAATTGGCAAATTATCCTAGCTTTCATTTGCAACCAGTTTAAGTAAAATCGGATAAGAATTGGATTTTTACAGCCAAAGCAAAGCAATGGGCGCTGGAGAGTTAAGGAAAAGTTTAACGGAATCATTCCACTTCTCGTTTTCAGGTCAGTCATTGATTAGGCCAACTAAAAAACTACAAGGGACAACCCTATGAGGTTGTACGCAATGATGACGTTGGACTACGTGGTCTTATATAATAAATGTTATTTGTTAACTGCAGTAGGAGCTTTTGATTTGTGCAGGAATAGGAATTTGAGCAGGATTCTCTCTGTTTGTATTCATTAGTATGACTATGATTGCCCTGAAATGATATGAAATTTAGTTGGGACATGTTCAGAAATTTAACTCTTTTTCAAAATCTTGGTGACCGATGGTAGTACAGGCTTAAAGGTCCCCACAAACTGGTTCGTTAACCGCGGTAGCGATATTCGCGTGGGTACCCACACCAAAGCGACAGTTTTTTCGCAGCGTCGTAGCGATCGTGAGCAATGGATTCGTCGTCGGATGAAGAAGAGGCGCTTTCGCTAGTTTCTTTGCAAGCAGAGGGAAATGCGTTGAAGTATTTTGGCAATTTCCTTTATTTTAGTGATAGGTATTTGTTTACAGTTTTGTTTGATATTATAGATTTTTCAACACTGGTGATCACGGAAGTTCATGCAATTTTAAAGAAAGTTTGTCAATCTTTAGAAAAAAAATATAAATCTTAACTTCCCGTGGAATGCATATCATCAGAAAAATTTGCAGATCTTTGGGAAATTTCATAGACAGAACATCAGGGAAACTCACATAACTTCAGAGTAATTTGCAAAACATCAAAGAAAGTTTGTATATCTTCAGATTGCAGAGCTTCAGAAGAATTCGTAAATCATCAAAAATATTAGCAAAATTTCAAAGAGGTTCACAGAACTTCAGAAATGTTGATAGATCATTAGAGAAATTTAAAAAAGGCAAGCTCACAGAACTTCAGGAAAGTTCGTAGATCATCAAACAAATTCAGGTTGAAGATTGAAAACATATCTTCCGAGGAATTTGTGAAAGTTCAAGGAACTTCATAGAATATAAAGTAATTTCGTTGAACTTCAGGGAAATGTGAAGAACTTCATACCTGTGGCATGTTGAGCTGTTGAATATTTCCAGAAAAATGATCATAGTAAAGTTTTGGGTGTTTTCGATAATTTCTGAGAATGCTGGTATCTTTTTAGATTTTTTCAAAGAACTTTAACTCTCGGACAGTCTCTTGAGTTCGCTTTTAGTATTCTCCCGATATTTCAGATGAATTATCCCAGGAAAAAAAGATTTAGTTCGGCTAAATGCTTCTCCGGAACTCACCTAAAAAATGCAATGAAATTATTCTCAGAACTGAATTTAGTTCGCTTTGAATTTTCTTCTTCCCTTGGAATTCAACTTACAGTTTCTAAATTTTCTACTAACATATTCCTTAGATTTAGCATAGCATATGCAATTGTACAAATCGTGGGTCAACTATCTTCACAAATACCTTAGATTTCTCCTCCGGAAGCTTCTTTAAAGGGCACTGAGTTTATAGCAGTTTACCGATCTTTGTACAAGTTGAGCGAATTCCAAGTAGAACAAGGAATTTTGTAGAAGTTCTTGGAACTACATAGAAGCTCTGCTACAATTTGGAGAATTTCGGGGGGATTCAGGGAGTTTTGAAGATGGAAATATTGTAGAAATTCCAATGAAAGTCTGAGATCTTTATCAAATTTCAGCGAGCAGTAAATCTTTGAAAAAAAAAGACATATTTGAAAAAAAAAAAATAGATTCGAACCAATTCTATTAAGATTGCCGTTTTTGTTATTTTTGTCACTTGAAAATCACTTTCGGTACAAAAACCGCGCTTCTTCGCCATGCATTTAAAACGCGGTGAATTTTCCGCCGCAAATTATTCGCTGCCGCCACGTTAAAAACGCGCCATTTTGGGGGACCTTAAAGTTTTTGGAAGATGATGATGACATGTAGGCAGCTGGATCAGCAAATCGGACAGAACAATCCCATATTCTTCGGTTCAATGATTGGGTACTCGCAAGAGTCTCGGCCCGTCTGCTGCTGGACAGGGGTTGAACTGGTGTCTGCGACAGGTTGGAAGGCCGCTAAATATCAGTGTCCATCGAGCAAAAGCTCCTCCCTTTTTTAGTTTTTCTCGTTAAACTACTCCTCTCAACAAGTTGGTAAATCTTAGCCTTTAGCAAAAAGACGCTTAACACTTTTTTTCGGTGAATTTATGATCCTGTTTCACGTCATGGTTCTTCTACTTTTATTTATTTTCTCTACTGCACTAAATCAAACGAGTAGCAACAAGAAGGGATGTCGGTCACGCACTCGAAATTAAGAATGAAAATAGTATAAAGGACAAAATGGAACGAACTCACCTAATCTGGCCAAGTGAACCCAACAAGCTGGCCTGATGTGTTAAAGGGGAAGTCGCAATAGTAGACGGTACACTTCACGGGGTAATCCGGTTTGTGCTAGAGCTTGCACGGATTGTCCCGAATGTAGTCTTGAAACAACTCTTGGCCGTCCGATACAATCCGTACACTGTGGAACTCGATGCAGGAAATTCAAGTATTAGTTCGTCACCAATATCATTTTACGGTTGTAATTTCATGTTTTTTTTGTGGCCCTTCGAAAATGTCGTACAGCAGAATTGCAACCAGTAAGTGTAACCCAAGAACCAAAAGCGGTGCGATGCTAGTTTTTTATTGCTATGACGACGACAGAATCAAAGTGCTTAGAAGCAGAGAGGTGAAAGTCAATTCTCTTCATCGATTTCCTCTTTTGATGACTAACCTATTTCGCACTATTTCTGCTATGCTCTTCTATCATCCAGAACAACAAACGTGTGATAAAAGTGTTTGCCATCGAGTTATTAACAAAACAGAAAGTCGATCTAAATCACTTGCATCCCTGCTTCCAAATTTTTTTTTTCTTTAATATAGAGATTTTTAGCCATAGGCTAGTTCATCTCTTAAATTTGGTTACAAGATTACAACTCTGGAGAGCATTTTGTGTGGTTGTTGGGGGCGTATGGTTCTGAATATGGCGATGAGTGTGCAAAATGTTACGCAATTGAATCCTCCCTATTCGCCTTAGATCGGAGGAGAATGCCACTTCGACTTGTTTCGTCTACCAACTACTCTCTGATGTCAGTGTTGGGGAAGCAGAAAATGCATGTACTTGGTGGAATTGTTAGTTATTTCGACGCTTTTGGACAATGCTTGCCATTTACCACTTACTTGTTGAAAATCAACAGTTGGAATCGATGCTGAAAAAAATATTTCTGTTCTATTGGTGATAAATTTATTGAAATTGGTCCAGGGGCAGCTGAGTTATTAACACTCAAATTTCATAATTTCGTTACATGTTCCATCTTCGATTTTCACAAAGTATACTCCCATATAGAAATCACAGACGTAGTCCTACGTAAAAAAAAAATATCTAGCTGTTCAGATCCGTTTTCAGGAAGGAATTCGCTCGCTTCGTATCAGCAAGAATCCAAACAGGACGCTAAATCTGAATCAGGTGGCAAAAGCACGTGTATGAAAACTTTACACGGATGTTTTGACTAAAGAACCTGGATTGGGTAACATCTCATCCATTTGACAGGCTGTCTACTCAATTGGAATGACTGGATTAATCCTTTTAGTCAGTTTAGCCAATTTATTTGCGTTAACGCAATATTTGAACATTCCACAATTGATTTAATTTATAACCCATGGCGATATGAAAAAAGGATGACCCTTATTATCAAGTATTAATTAGTTATGCTCATCGTTGATTAGCAGAAAACAAACATGCTGACGATTTTCCGCTGAACAAAGTTTGAAACTTTTTATCGCATTTCCCTTTCTCTTATATCTTTTTACTTTATTCGGACAAAAAATAGCATGCACAAAATGAACAAAATGAACACCCGTCCAGGGGGGCGTGGCTTGCCCACTGAGTTCCTTTTCAGTGTTCATGCGCTGTTTATCGCTGACTATATACGTAGCAACGCTTAGCAACGGAAACGTTTCCAACGTTACCAGGGGGACACGTGCATGCAGGATTGTGTCTTTGTATGATAAGAAGCGCCAACAGCAAAGTGTACATAATATCCTTAAAGGTAACCACCAGTTCCCGGTTGAGCTAATTCAATAAAAATAAACTAATCTTTATCCTATTACCGCCAATCAGACACGTGGCCCGTTGGCGGTCGGCGTAAGGAAGTAATAGAGCGCAGCCAACGTTGATCATCATTTGAAATTAATTTGAGGGATTATGCGATCCAGCGTTCTGGGATGTGTTTGACTCTTGACAGGCGGAAGGATGCGTTCCTTAATATGGGAGAATTTCGGCTAGCAACACGAAGCAGGAAAGTGTGAGAAATTGTTATCGGTATTTTGCCAGGAAATGGATCGTAAGCCAATATAAATACTGTGATTGCGTGTTTTATGAGAGGGTGTGAACACGTGTCCACTGGGAAGCCATGAATTTTAAATTGGCAGCTGAGGAAATTCTTGCTAAAAGGTATCATTTTCTTTCTCATAAATGGGTTCAATATCTCAATATGTTTGAATTTGAATTTGACTTTTGATTACAGTTAGGTAGTAGTTATTTTTGTATCTAGATCGAACCTTGAACATTTATCGCATTTATTTTTCATGACATTGATTACAGTGATAGATTTATTTTCCTTTTCTAAATTTTCAATTCAATCCAATCTTTACTTTTTATCACCATCGCATCGCTCTTGGTTACATTTCTTCTTATCGAGATTATGTCTGCCGTCGGTTCCGTCATGATCCACTCCCGGTGGACCGTTGCAACTGTTAATCTCTCGTTTTATCTCACTTTCCACGCCGGTTCTGTCCATGTACCCGGTTAATCCCAGGTCCGTCTTGATGCCGCTTTCGATTGCGCACAAGGGAATGGCTTTTCTCCTGTTTTTCAACCCATGTTTGGCAATCTTGCCCGACGGGCACAGTTTATTGACCAGCTTAATTTTCTCGATTGTCGTTCCACAACCTGGTAATGATTCGATTTTAATGGACCGATGATATCCATTGCTGGCGTTGGAAAATTCCGTAGCACATTTTTGGCCAAGGTGTATCTTATTGAACGGCTTCGATACCATCATCAACAGGTTATTTCCGTTGTTTCGATAGTTTCCGGTGAAGTGATTTTCATTGTTGCCGCCGTTGAATTGATGAACCGGTTTGTTGAACCCGCTGGTCGGTTTCGACTGGCCTTGTTGCTCTGACGAAGACCTATCATTTGCTTCTTGTTTCTTCTGCCATTCGAGAACATTGGTCAACAGGCGAATGTACCTAATATTAAAGACAAATAAATTGACAAATAACATCTACCAACAAAATTACGCAAAGAAAGTTACCTAATGGCCATTCGCAGTATTTCATTTTTGGATAATTTCTTGTCCGGAGGGTGGGTCGGTACAAGTTTGCGAAGTTCAGCGAATGCACCGGATACGTTCTGCTGGCGCCAACGTTCTCTAGTGTTGGTGAACATTTTTCGAACCACTGGGCCGCCTCCGATTCCCAGCTTGGTGCCGGCTAGATTCAGCACCGGAAGAACTTCCGGTGGGGTGGACAGGGAATTCGTTTGTTTGCTGCATGATGATGACTCTTCGTTTGTTGTGATTCTGGATGAATGGTCTGGTTGAAGTTGGAAATTATAACGCGCATATTTTCATAGTAGGGAGCAGTTCCTCGCCGAATGACGAATCGGAAAAACTCGACCTTCTCCGATTTGCATAAAACTTTGCATAATTGTGTGATGGGTAATCAATCACATTTTTACAAAATTTCGGCCATTTTGAATGTTGTTTTTTTTTTTTTCAAAATGGAGTCTTTATATTTTTTCAATAAATTGTAGTATGAAAACGTCACTAAGCCTTCTGATCGAAAGGACGTCTGAGGCAAAGTTGTAGAGAAAAATAAAGTCTTTCTGGGAAAAAATACAGGGTGACCCGAAAGGAGGTGAAAGTAGACCACATTTGCAGCAAAAAAATGTATTGCAAGGTAGTTCGAAAAATCATTCCTTACCGAGTTATTGATCTATTTATTTTACATTGCCGAGCAACACTACCACTTTTTGCTCGGGCACTCGCGAATATTACCAAGCCCACCAGGGAGTAAGCATTGCTTGGTTACTATGATCAATCTTTGTTTACTAACCACTCTATTCAATTGGCGCGGTGAAAAAAAATGCAAGATCCAAATTTATCACATAATTATGCAACGTGTCATGCAAATCGAAAAATGCCGAGTTTTAAATTTTATTGTTTTTTTCTATGTGGCTTGGAACTGATGGGTGTTTGAGTATTATCCATTCCAGATAACCAGAAATCGAATAAATTCAGGAATTCTATTTCACACATAAGGTGAAAATTAATGCTTTTCCGTTGATACTGAATCCACACTCGTTCAAACCACACCCAAATTCGAAATGCACTAATACCAACAAGCATTGCAAATTAGAAAAATGGGAAGTATTGAAATTTTGATCATATTCGTAAACACAATATTATTGTATAATTATAATAATTCTACTGCTTAAATGACAACTTCAATTCCAAGATTCCAAGTTCAGGGTAGTCCTACTAATGCTCAGCGAAGTCTTGCCGTAGTTCAGGGAAGGCCTGCCAAACTTCAGCGAAGTCCTGATGAAGTTCAGGGAAGCCCTGCCGAAGTTCAGGAAAGTCCTTCCGAAGTTCAGGGAAGCCTTGCCGAAGTTCAAGGAAGTCTGGCTGAAGTTCAGGAAAGTTCTGCGGAAGTTCAGAGAAGTTCTGTTGAAGTTCAGGGAAGTTCTACCGATGTTCAGGGAAGTTTTTCCGAACTATAGGGAAGTGCTACCAATGTTCAGAGAACTCCTGCCGAAGTTCAGAGAAGTTCTACCGAAGTTCAGGAAAGTCCTGCTGAAGTTCAGGGAGGTGCAAACCAGGAACCAGGATCCTCAGATAGCCTATAGTCAGTTAAGGTAGGGTATTACCAACCGGTGGAAACTAACGATTTTAAATTGGCTCACTACTTGACTAGCCTATTGGTCCCAAGCAAATCGATTAACGTATCTCATTCTAGTCGAGAATCTAGTACTACACTATGTTTGTTTTCATTCTCGATGAAAGTTTGACAGCTAAAATGAGGGGTTCGTCGATATTCCTATGTTTCGAGGGGTGCATCGATTAGCTTGGGACCGAAGATAGTACTAGAGCTGAGCCAAAAAATTGAACATGTTTCATCGGGACCTGCTGGACTTAAGGACCGCCCACAATAGTCCGTTACCGTCACCGTTACCGTCAGTGTCAACTGACAGCTTGGTTTGAGCCAACGCTAATCAGTTTACAGTTTATTAGTGCTAATCAACCACAAAGATGCGTTGCCCTCACTGCGCGCCAGTACTAAAACGCTGACGGTGTGCTAAATTTTGAAAATTTTCGGAAAATTGACGTCTTGTTGCTTTTTCTTCACATCAGCGTAATCAGAAGCGTATTTTTTACCGTGTTGATTTGAACGATGGAATACATCGAAGAAAAGCTAATTATGAAGGGAAACTCTGCCCTGTGCGCAAAGGCCTTAAAAGAGTATATGGAGAAACAATATAAAAAAGAAAAAAAGCATGGAATTCAATTGCTGTCGAGTTGAATATTAACGGTGAGTTTTATATTTGCTTCTTGCTTGAACATAACATTTATTACTTCATCTGCTTTCAGTGGATGCAACGAGGTTGATTGTTTCGCGATCTGGCGGGTGAAGACTTATCCGCTTCCTCCTGTCCATTTTTCGAGGAACTGAAGTTTCTTCAGTCCCACAGTCAAGCTCGACCGTAAGATTTTTTTTTATCTAGTTCGTTTATTTGTAAGGCTCAATCGCGTTAGCTTTACGGAGCCGATAATTCATTGTTCTTTGTTTGTAACAAAATTCACTTTTTTTTTTTTTTTTTTCCTTGTCGGGTATTTTCATCACTGCGACCATTTTTCTGATCTATTGTGATATATTCCCCATTTTTTTTTCTTTAGCTATATCAAGATGCCGTATCACTATTATTAGGAGTGATCGCCATCGTTTGACTAATAGCATTATCCCAGCACGGCATTATACTTCGAATAAAGTGCACTGCCGTACTAGGAGTTGTTCTCCAAATGTCAAAGGGTTCTATCAGCCCCTTGTCGAAGAACTTACGCCTTTTATTGAAAATTGCCGGACAGTGGCATAGCAAATGTTCCGAGTCTTCCTTTTCTATGCCACAGAAGCGACACACATCATCTTGAAGTTTTCCAATCAGCTTCAAGTGATAACGGCTCGGACAATGACCTGCATATATACTAAGATCTTTCTTAGAAAGTTCCAGGATTTTGTGGGTCACAGAAATGTTTGGATTAATAAATCGCTTCGACTGCCTAGCAATGGAAGTTTTCTTCCAGTTTTCCTCCACTTTTGAAGATTCCCACGCTTTTAGCTCCATTCTAAGAGATGCAGCCGATAAGCCACAAAAGGGCTCTGGCCCGATGAACATATGAGAAGATCCGAGTCTTGCTAGTGCATCAGCTCTTTCATTTCCCTCAATCCCGCAATGACCAGGAACCCAATATAAGTTGACTTGATTATGACAAGACAATTTTTGAAGTGATTGAACACACTCCCAGACAAGTTTTGATGTACATGTCGCCGACTTTAAAGCATTTAGAGCAGCTTGACTGTCGGACATGACGCATATATTTGAACTCTTATAGTTTCTACGCAAACATATATCGGAACACTCTAAAATTGCTTGGATTTCAGCTTGGAACACAGTTGGCCATCTGCCCATAGGAACCGATATTTCTATCCCTGGGCCAGTTACTCCTGCTCCCACTTGATTGTTCAATCTTGAACCATCTGTATAAAAAACAATCGATCCTGGGCGAAGAACCGGGCCACCAAATTGCCATGAATTACGCCCAGGGTCAACTACTCGAAAAAGTCGATTGAAGTTGTATCTTTTCTCCATCCAGTCTTCGTTGTTCCTTACTAGAGAGTTGATACTAACAGTTTTTAGAATCGTAAGATGTCCTCTAAGGTCTCCTTCAAAGAGTTTCACTGACCTTGTAATCCTTAGAGCACACTTTTCGGCTTCTAATTGTACAAATTGATGCAATGGTAGCATATAAAGCAAAGCATCCAAGGCCTTCGATGGTGTACTTCTCATTGCACCTGTTATTGAGAGAGTTGCTAACCTTTGGAGTTTTTCTAACTTTCTCTGAACAACACTCTCTTTTGTTTTTGGCCACCAGACCAATGCACCATAAGTAATCCTGGGTTTCACAATTGCCGAGTAAATCCAATGGATCATTTTCGGTTTCAGTCCCCACTGTTTACCGAATGTTCTTTTGCATATCCATAGAGCATTGATAGCTTTGTTTATTGCCTGCTCTAGGTGCATATTCCAATTAAGTTTACTATCAAGGATTACTCCAAGATATTTGACAGCATTAGAAAGTTCCAAAAGTGTGCCTTTCAATCTTATGTTGTCTAATGAAAATTTCTTCCTTCGGGTAAATGGCACGATAGTAGTTTTAGAAGGATTTATGTTTAATCCTTCCCTATCACACCACGATGAGACAAAGTTTAAAGCAATTTGCATTCTGTTAGCGATAATACAATCATATTTGCCACGTACAATTATGACTATATCATCTGCGAAGCCAATTATTTCGAAGCCATTGGCTATTAAATTTTTGAGAAGATCATCAACTATTAAAGACCACAATAGAGGTGATAACACGCCTCCTTGCGGGCATCCTTTGGTTGCTCTTACACTGATTAGTGAGCTTCCAAGGTTTGCTGATATTTCTCTTTTTGATAACATTTCATTGATCCAATTTACAATGCAACAACAATTTTGATAACATTTCATTGATCCAAATTAAAATTCACTTAATTCTATGTCTAGTAGGAGTTGGGCCGGATACTCGCGGCTTACTCGAGGTTAGAGGGGTACATTGTCGAAGGATAGGAAAAGGGGAGGAGCTTGGGAGTAGGGTATCGTTGCCTCATCAGAGCGTTGTCGCCAGTATGAACGGTAGTGTGGTTCTAGATTCGTCTGGAGTTCGACCGGCTATTGTGACCAGTGGGGGAAGATGAGGCTCATCGAGACGGGGGACAAGACAAACAAAAACTAATAAAGAGATACAAAAGACAAACGAATTAAATTCTTATACTAGACATTTGCAGAAACACAAAAATCGACTGCATGTAGCAGAGATCGCGGGTACCCAAAACGTCTCTGATAGAGATTTAGGGTTGTCTTCCTTGGGTCTCGAGGGTATTCAAAAGTCGCTCTCTGGCGGCGTCATTATCCGTACATTGCCAAACTACGTGATCGATGTCGTCGTAACCGTTTCCACACCGACATATGTTGCTGTCCACGAGGTTTATTCTATTGAGATGCGCATCTAGCGAGTAGTGGTTGGACATAAGTCTACTCATCACGCGAATAAAGTCACGACTTAAGCCCAAGCCTTTAAACCACGCTCTCGAAGAAACATTAGGAATAATTGAATGTAACCACCGTCCAAGATTTCCATTGTCCCAATCGGTTTGCCAACTCGAAAGGGTACTCTGACGCACTAAATGGTAAAATTCATCGTGTGAAATATGCCTGTCATAAAATTCGC